GCCCCCTCCCCGTCCGCGCACGCGCCCTTTAGGAGCCCCGCCCACCTGCTCCGTCTAGGAACTCACCTTCTGGGCGCTGAGTGTGGGTGCTGTCCTCCCACTTCTGAGCAGGGGTGGGGATGGGCGTGGACGCTGGAGCCGCGGTGAGGATGGGGCCGGCCTCCTGGTAGGGTGAGGCCATCTCTCCAAAGACTGATGCAGCCCTGAACTTAGACCAGTCACTAGGGGTGAAGACGGACCTGGGGCTGAAGGTGGGGTTGGGGATGGGACTGAAGCCCGTGGTGGGCCTGAAGCTCGGGGTGGGACTGAAACCTGCAACCGAGGCCAGGGTCTCAGGCTCCCCCTAAAAGAGAGAAGGCACAGCATTAGCAGAGGAGAGGAAAAACAGCCCCAACCCTCTTTACTCTGGAAGGGGGTGGGACTAGAGGGAGTTAGGGGTGGCCGAGGGTCATTTGGGTATCACAAAATTATAATGGACCATCAGGGAAGATTGGGGGTAGGTTCCTGGTTTCATCTTACCTCCTTTGTAGGTGTCGATTTCCCACAAACTGAGAAAAAAGAAACAAAGCGTCACAAATTTCACTTCCTCTCTCAGCCCTGGCACCCATACTGGGGCTGGCCGTGGGGACTTGTGGTGACATGCTTCGGGGCCAAAGTGGCCCCAGGGACAAGAGAACTACTGATGCAGTGTGACCTCTCACAAGCCATCAGGGCCGCCTCCTGCCGACGGGGTTCTCGGCAGCAAACGAAGGGGACACTCCTCATTTCCCTCAGTGCTGGTCCATCTTGCCCACTCACCCTCCTCCCACATCCCCGCCAGCATGCTTTCCCCTCCCAAAGGCCCCACTCACCAATGGAGAAGAACCTGGGCTTCTGCCATTGGTAGCGGCACATTACAGCGATGAAGGATAAAACGCAAATGCCAAAGAAGATCACCAGGGGCAACAGCACTGCGGAACCTGGAGACAAGGCAGACTGTGGTCAGAGGAGGGGATAGCAGGGGGCAGCAGGGCTGGCTGGGTAGGTGGAAGGGCAAGGATTAGGACAGGGCAGGTGAGCATGGGAACTGGGTGATTTGTCCTCACCTGGGTCCTGAGGGACCTTAACCGTTTCCACGGGGGGTAGACACCACTTCGCGCACTCCGTGTTTTTCTTACAGCTAAAAGAAGAGATAGCACAGGTGAATAGGGGCCCTCCCATAAGAAGAAGATGGGGGTGGGGGGGGAGACAAAGAAAAAGAAAAAAAACTCCACCTCATTGCAAATTCTTTGCTTTACGAATATTTTAGCTCTCTCTTGATATAATGGAAATTAAACCTCTCCTGGGAAATTAAAACTTTCCTGATGCAGAGGAATGAAACCCCAGTTAATCACAAAATCATTTAATTTTAGAACTGGTCTTGAGGAGGCTGTGTAGAAAAAAATTAAAAGCGGTGAGAGGCAGGGCATGAATTCCAGCCCATTCATTGGCTAGCAGCGTGAAATCCAAGCAAGTCATTTAACCTGTAAGCCTCAGCTGGCCCATCCACAAAATAAGGTTCTTACCCACCTGCCAGAATGGAGGAGTTAAGTGAGATCAGTCTGCCTGACATATAGTAAGTGCTCAGTAAATGGTAATGGTCACTGAATCGTTTTACTGATGAGAATCCCACGGTAAAGAGAGGCTGGAGAGCTTTTTCTTGAGATAACACTGCTAGTGACAATCACTGACTTTGAGAGAGGGGTTAAACATGCATGTGAAAAATTTTAAAATACATATTGTTGGGGGCAGCCAGAGAGCACTCTAGAACAAGCGCATCTTCCCCCATCGGGAGTTGTCACTGGCAGCGTGGAGTGATGAGAACCCCATGGGGGGCTAGAAGGAACTCAGGGGAAGGTGAATGCTCAGCAGGAATCTGAAAGCAGGAAGAGGCACTTTTGCCCACCTCACAAGCTGATGGTGAGAACCTCATGGAATGAGTGTGAAAACTCTTTGAAGCAGCAGAGCGGACTTAGTAGAAAAAGAAAAATAGTTCGGTGTCAGACACTTTGTAGCCATACAACTTGCCCAGTGGATGTCATTAGCCTTACTTTAAAGGTGAGAAAACTAAGGCTCCGAGATGTTAAGTAACTTGCCCAACGTCACACAGCCCAAGTGGCTCGGCTGAGATTTAAACCCAGGTCAGTTGAACTTTAGAGCCCTCAGAGTTCCTTCTTTGCAAGCGAGTGTGCAAGACCAGGCTCCGTGGAGCCAAAAGAGGAGGCCTGAACAGAGACTGGGGAAGAAATACCATACTGCAGCAAAGATGCCATCGAAAGTAAGAAGCATCATTATTTACATACTACATACACACACACACACACACACACGGAGCTGCCAGGTAAATCATGATACATCATCAATTGTTAGATGCAGTCTGATTTCAGAGATGTGAAAATGCGCGTCCTAGAATCGATGAACTGTAGTAGGCCCTGTCACCCCACAATCCAAATGTCTGAATTAAAAGAACTGCAAGTCCATGAAGTATGAGCTCTATTCCCGGAGACTTCTTCAGATTTTAGGAGCAAGCCCCCCGTGGTTGGGAGGGGGGTGTGGGAGGAAGAACTGTCTGGTGTTTTGACACTAAGTGTCAACCACTCAAACAGCCAGTAAGAGCCAGAGCATCCTGGGGTGTCTCCCTTGCCCTGCTGGTGGCTCTCACCAGCAGCCACCGCACCCCACCCCAAGCCCCCTCCCCACCCGATCCGGTGCCCAGCAGATGGCAGAGATACTCACTGAACACAAGAGACGCATGCATTCTCTCTTAGAAAGAAGCCCGCATGGCAGGTGCACACGGTGTTCTGTCTCTCCTTGCCTATGGGGAGAGATTCAGCACAGCTAGGGGAGAACTGCCCTGCACCCCAAGGATCACGGGGAAAGCCAGGAGGGGCAGGAGAGTGCAGGTGGTCCCACAGACTTCGGGAGTGGGAAGGAGGGGAAGTGTTGCATCAGGGAGCGGGGGCACAGAGGCAGAGAGCTTCCTCCTGAGCCGGGGCCACCCTGGGGCAGGGAGGGGGCCGGGGTCGGGAGAGCCATGCTCACAGGAGATCTGCACCGTGCCATTGGGGCAGAGGCTGCAGTTCACGCACTGGAAAAGGGTTTCACTCCAGTAATGCCTGTACTGGTTCTTCCGGCAGCCGCACACAGTGTCCCGGAACACGGTGCAAGGAGAAATCTCCACTTGGTTCATTTCTGGACAGGGGAGGAGAGGGGGTGTGAGCCCCTGCCCCACTGCAGCGTGTGTGTCTTTCTCTGCACACACGTCCCCACCCATGCACTCACCCGTGCATGCGCATTCCCGCCCACACCCACCAGCGGAGGTCTGTCCGCCCTCACGGGGACAGGCGCGCACACTGCTCTAACCGAGCCAACTGGCGCTCTGTTTAGAGCCCTTGCCGCCTCCTGAGATTCACCTTTTCGACATTTGGAGCAGCTGAGGCACTGTCTGAGGTGGTTCTCGGAAGCTGTGAAGGTGCCATTTTCACATTCCCTGCAGTCCGTGTCCAGCCCTGGGCTGGGACAGTCATTGTACAGGTAGGTCCCTGTGAAGGGGTGGCAGGGTTAGAGCTCAAGGAAAGAGCCCCACGCTAGAGAGAACAGCCAGGGCCACCCTCCTCCCCAAGTCTCTAACAGAGGAAAGAAGGGAGAAAATCCCAGCCCAGGAGAGGCAGCAAAGTTAGGAGACTGGAGGTGAGAGACCCCTAGGTTCTAGAACCTCTGGAAAAGGCAAAGGAAGAAGCAGGACCGCATAACTGAGCAGGTTCACTGTTACCGCATTCTCCTACCTTTGTGGCACTTTGTACAGCAAATGGAATTATCTTGAGGGTGAATATATTTTCCTTGGGGACACAGAATAGCTCTCTTCTCCCGGTCCCTGAGGTGAGGGACCAGTGCCGTAACCCTTAAGGGGTATATTTCCACCAACAGAGCCAGGAGCACCTGGGGAAGAATCAGACAGAGGAGATCCCATCAGGAAAGGGTTGGTGGGAGCCTTAGAGGTAGCAAGTCCAAAGCCTTCCCAGCTCAAGTCCTTTCTCAGTGGAACATTCTCCCCAGGCCAGGCCACTCCCGCTCACACTCAATGTTCTTTCTCTAAGCTTAGACGGCTGGCCCCATGTGATCCAGTGCTTAATTCTTCCCTAGTTGTTCTATGGACTAATTTTTGTCCCTCCAAGTCAAAGCTATAGACCCCAAGCCTGGGCTCTATTTTATCCTTCTTTCCCCATAGCAGCTAATAGTGCTGGACACGGGGCAGGTGTTTAAGGCATGTTTTTTTGATTGAGAACTGGCAGGTTACCTCAATTATGGCCTTTCCTTCCAACAAGGAGCCCTAAGGATTGGGGTGGTGTTTCTCCATCCGGGTGCTATGTTCGTAGTGTGTTCACTTTGTGAACATTCACAGAGGTGAACAGTTAGGATCTGTGCACTTTCCTGGATTGTGTTATACCAGCAAAAAGGTTTTTTATAAAATCGGATTGGTGTGGAAGTAAGTGATGTTTCTGTGGGCACCATTCCTGGGGAGTGGGCAGAAGCAAAAGGAAGAATTTCTTTATAAATCTCTATCAGAACCTCACTTACGATTTTGTCCTCAGACTCCAGGCCACATCCCCTTCTACCACCAAATCTGCACAAAGGCCCCAGGCTGGCCAGGGCAAATGGGGAGGGGAGTAAAAGGGAAAGTTGTGGGTCAGGAAAGAGGTTGGTGACTGACGAAGTTTAGGGGCAGGCATGCCCCTAAATGTGGAGAAACGCATGTAGGTTACACGCAACTAGAGCTGGCCAGAGGCTGGTGTCCGGCTCAAAGGACCATCAAGTCTAGAGCTGAAGGCGGCTCAGGGAGTCCTGCAGCCGTCTGCACACCAGGGCATGCTGGGAGGCATGTTTTACAGCCTCGGGGCAAGCCCAGGGCAACTGAATCATCTGCTCAGTTCTGGCTGCAGAGCCGGGGACAGCAAAGCCAGGAGTGTGTGGAGCTCCAACCCAGACTTTGCCCCTTGATCTCCTGTCAGCCTCGTTCCGGCTTTCCCTGGGTCTCGATTTGGTTTTCCCTCTGCTATAAGCGCCACTTTATGTAAAGATAAGAGGATGTCCTCAAAGTGTGTTAAACACTGGGGAGCAACAGATCACAGAAACCCCAGTCTGGGACAGGAGGGCATCACAGCCCACAGCCCAGTAGGCAGGCAGGTGGGCAGGTGGGCAGGTCATGCTCTGAGGCACCCTCTGGGGGACGCCGCAGCCTGGAAGCTGGAGCCTCAGCCTCAAACAGAAGCCACCCTGAGAAACACAGCAGCAACACCCCCCCACCCCCACCCCCCGCAGGGCTGGGCTCCCCTACTCAGAGGGCAGCACCCTCCTTGGCCCACTCCGGAACTATCTCCCCTGAACAAGACTGGGGCGTCCAGGGCAACAGGAAGAGTTTGGGGTGGTTATGGGAAGACCTTCCCAATCCTGAAAGTGTGGTTCCTTTCCCTGAAGAAGAGCTCCCAGCGCCTAAGGTTACTGGCACTTGAAATTCCACGTGGGCCCGCCCACCCCCCACCCCCAGGAGCAAAGACAACCAGCAGAGACAGAGTCAGGGAGAAAAAGTAGGGGCTCCAGTCCTGGGACAGCCTTGGTGGGGGGCTTTTCAGGGCCCACCGGCCTGTGAGGTATAAGCTTCCTGGGGAGCAAGCGAGGGAGGGAGAGAGGCTTTCTCAAGCCTAGTGTCTCCCTCCCTCTCCAGCACTTTGGGGGTTAAGTCAGATCCGGGAAAGGGATATCTTTTCCCAGCAGCTCCGCCCAGTGACTCAGGCCAGGGAGGGAGGGCATCTAGGGGAAGGAGAGAGAACCAGCAGCTTCCCCAGCTCCTCAAGGGTCATGAGTCAGCACAAAGATTGAGGGACCAGCCAGCCATTAAGACCCCATGTGAGCCCTTCCTCCTGTGGGCCAGGCTCTGCCTCCAATCCCCACTAGGAGTACGCTTCCTCCCCCTCCTCCTCCTCCTCAAAAGAGCCAGGCAAAGGACCCCTGTCCCACTTGGCCCACAGATTTCGGGAAATGGCTCCCTCTCCCATTCCATCCCAAAGGGAAGTCTCCTCAACCCCTGGCTTCCTCCCATCGGGTCACTACCCACCCCTCCCTGAGGGGCCTCTCAGCTCCTTCCCGCCCCTCAGCATCCTTCCTTTAGACCAGGCCCCACCCTGGCTCCTCCTCCCCATTCAACCAGTCCCCAGCCGACAGGCCTTTTCCCTGGGTTCTCACAGGAGCCCCCTGACACTCCCCAGTTCCTTCCAAAAGAAAGCAAACCAAGGCTGCCCTCCCACCCGGGGTTCACTGCATTCCCACAGCCTGGCTGGTTCTGGCCAGTGGGGTTGGGGTTGGGGACCTCCCTGAGGTCCCCAAACAACCCTTAGGAAATAAGGCCAGTTCTGAGTCTCCACAGCCCGCCCCCCCCAACCAAGTCCACTGGCAGCACAGGAAACATTCCAGAGCCCTGAACGCCCACGTCCAGGAGTGAGGAAGCAGGCGAGAAGAGATGTAAGACAGCCAGCCCCTACTTCCCAGGGTTCTCATAGCCCCCAGCAGCGCCCCAGACAGCCCTCTCTGACCCCTAGTAGCCAGGGCCTCAGGCCCCCACCACTGGGTACCGTTTGCTGGCACCAGCTGGCTCCAGGGAGCAGGTCCTCAGCAGCTGTATCTTGCAGCTAAATTAGGAGGTGAGCAAGCTCTGCGCCCCAAGACCCTAGCCAGCCTGCACCTGTCATCTGGAGCAGGGGAAAGGCAGGAAGCTGGGAGGTGCCTGAGGAGAGATAGTTGAGGGGGTGGCCCAGCATCCCTCCAACTCCCCCACAACTTCCGCCTGGGGAGACTTTAAAGTGTGACTTCCTGTGCTGGGGCTGCAAAGGGGGCGGAGAAGCCAGAGAAGCGGAGAGAGCGACCCTGTGGTCTAACCCTGACCCAGCACCTCACGACCTTCGCTGTGTCCTTCCCCTGCATTAATTTGTTCATTAAATTAAAACGTGTTTGTTCTTTGAATGTCAAAATCTTTGGGGAGCTTACGACAGCTTCTCCTCCAAGAGCTCAGTCACGATCCCACCTCCGTCCCCTGAAGCCCTCCATTAACGCCACTTCCTCCACTCAAGCTCATTAGATGGTCAGCCCCCTGTGAACCTCAATACCATGAATTAACTATATCTACCTCGGGCTCTTATTATAATATAATTATCCTGGGTGAGTAGATATGATCTCCCCAAACAGATCATAAACTCTATGAGATGAGCGATCAGAGAGAGTGTATGGTCAGAGATGGTGTCTTATCCTCCTGGGTATCTTCTCAGCTCCCAAAACAAGAGGAGCAAAATAAGTATAGACTGATTGGCTGATCTAACAACTCATCTGTGCTCCACTCCAGTTGAAGCCAATGCTTCCTTTCCAGAGAGGGAAGTAGAGAGTCAGTGCCCCCTTGTAAGAACACACTTATCTCCAGGGGAGAGTTCTCAAACCATGCCCACTCCTTCACACACACACACACACACACATGCACACACTCCCCCACTGGAGAGTCTGACGAGTGTTCCTCTCCTTTTGAGCATCACTGGTGACTGAATGCAGCCCATATGAATGATACGAAGGCAGATAAGAGTTGGAGAAGCCCTGCTCTAGCCTGTTAGGTGCGCACTTCACCTGGCTGTTCCAGAACCCTTAACATGCCCCACACTCAACGGATCCATCTCCTGGTCTAGACAAATGTCACACCACCAACTTCTCCGCACCAGTGCCGAGAGCTCTGCTACCCTTCTCTCCTCGAGGCCTCCCTGTCCCGATCCTGCGGCCACTGGGTCTGTCGGTTCATCTTGCCAGTCCTTCTTCAGTGATCTCAGTCTTGTCCATACCCATGGGTTGCCTCATATTTGGATTATTGCAACTGTCTTCTAGCGGACTGTCCAGCCACCAGCCTCTTTCCTGCTCCGATCCATCCTACACACTCCTTTATCTGTGTTCACGCTTCAGCCTGTAGCCACATGTGTGGGAATCATCTTCTCCGGAACCTGACCTGGAACATCATTTCCACAGGTCACTCTTTCCCTGAATGAGTACTTGCAGAGGTCCCTCACTGCTATTCTGAACACGTTCCCAGGCATCATAGGCCCTCAGAGAACTGTTTCTGAATGAATGAATGAATGAATTCCTCTACCTGGGACCACATTCAAGATTCTCTCTTCATCCCCTCCCCCACTCCCTCTAATTTTCTCATTCTCATTTCTTCTTGTTCCTCAACATGCTCCTTCCACTCCAGCCAAGGCGTTCTCCTTCCTGCCACCGCCACTCCCAACACAAAATCCCACCTCTCCCTTCCCCTACTCTCCCTCCAACCAGTCTACCTTCTTTCTAGCCACCTGCCAGTCAGTGACTTCGAATCTCAGCCCCAAATCCACTTTTCTATGAGGTTTTCCCTTCCTCATTCCATCTGACCAATGCCTGTTCCTTGATTCATGCAACAAAGAGTTAGGGAGCACCATCTAGGCACCAGGTCCCATTCAGCTGCTAAGGGTCTATAGCAAATACACTGCTCATGCTGTCCAGTTCTCAGCTGGGTCAGAGACAGTCCCTTGTAGGCTCTTCGGTCTAGGCAGGGAGTGCTCCTGGAGCACTGAAGCCAGAGTTGAGGCAGCTGGATGATGCTCATTCCCTTCCCTGGTTCTGCCTCCCATCGGTGTTCTAGGACACTACATCAAAACGCTTTTGTGGGTATTCCCTCCCCCCCACCCCGACTGTTCTGAAACCACTTTTTTGCTGCAGGCTGTCTTGGCTCCCAGACTGTAAGCTCTTTGAGAACAGCAAAATCCAATGAGCTTTGTCACAGTCTCTCCAGTATTCTTCCCCACTATCCCCACACACACGGCATACTCCTGTGCTCAGTATTGCCCACTGAATGGTGAGCAATTGAAAAGCTCAGACACCTCGAAAACCTTCTGTTTCCCTTCCGGCTCCAGGATGAGCTCGGGTCCCTTCCCAGTCACACTCCCACAGGGGCTGGATGCTCCACCCCAGCCCCCAGGCACTTTCCTCTATCTGTTCAGACTACCCATACCTCTGTTTTCCAAACACAGTAGCCACCAAGCAATCACTACCAATACTACTAATACTAACAAGACAAACCTAACATTTATGAGTGCTTTCTATTTGCTATACTTTATTTCTCTACTAGAATGTAGACTCCATGGGGGCAGCGATTTTGTTCACTGCTGTCATCCCAGCACTTAAAATAATGTCTAGCACAGACCCAGCATTTGCTAAGTTGAATACTTAACCCACAGTTGACCCTTGAACAACGCAGAGGTTAGGAGCTCCAGCCCCCCACTTAATGAAAAATCCATGCATAACTTTGAATCCCCCAAAACGTAAGGACTCATAGCCTACTGTTACTGGAAGCCCTACCGATAGCAGAAACAATTGATTAACACACATTTTGTATGTTATGTGTAGTATATACCATATTCTTACAATCAAATAGGCCAGAGAAATGAAAATGTTATTAACAAAATCATAAAAAGAAAATACATTTACAGTACTGTATTTAATGGAAAAAGTCTGCACGTAAGTGGACCTGCGTGGTTCAAACCCATGTTGTTCAAGGGTCAACTGTATATCAATCTATTTAATCTTCAAAACGACATTATGAGGTAGTGTTTATTACATACGTTTTAGAGATAAAGAAACTAAGACATGGAAGGTTCTGTAGCCTGCCCAGGTTCAGGCAGCTAGTTGGTGAGGGAGCCAGGATTTGAATCTAAGCGATCTACCCCGAAAGAGAGAAAAGAAGTAAGAACAGGCAGCTGGAGGGGGGCGGAGGGAGCCTGGGAGAAGGACAGTCTTGAGAGAAGTCAAGAGACGGGGCTGGGGAGACAGGAGGTGGGACAGTGAGAAGAACAGTGAGGCCCAGATGGAGAGAGGTGCTGCCTGGGGAATCAGGGTCTAGAAATGTGGACTCCAGCAGAAAAGAGAGGGAGAGGGAGGAACCAGAGAGAAAAAGTTTCTTTTCTTCTTATTTATTTATTTATTTATTTATTTATTTTTAATTATGTTCAGTTAGCCACCGTATAGTACATCATTAGTTTTTGATGTAGTGTTCAATGATTTATTAGAGAAAAAGTTTCAAAAAAGGAGACCGTCGTGGGGAAACTGACAGAAAAGGAAGGAATGCTTAGGAGAGACAGCACAAGACCCAGAGGAGAGGACAGTGGGGATGTAGGCCAGGAAAGGGCAGAGACCTAGAAGAAACTGGCCAGCGCACGCCGGGAAAATCCACCCCAGCAGGTGGGAGACAGGGGCTCAGAGTATGGCAGAGGGTGACTCCAGGACAAGCAGGGAGATCAAGGATACATTGAAACGAGGCTGAGGCACAAGAAAGGGACATTTTCCAGTGACGAAAACAACTTTCTACTAACTTCCCCAAACCCAGCTGTAAAAGAAGAAACCAGGACATTGTTGTTTAGGCCTGTGGGAAGGGGGCTGGAAGGCTGGCACAGGGACGGAGACAAGGCACCAGGTGGAGGTGGTGCTGGTTGTCCAACAGAAGCCACCCATCTAGAAGCTGAGCCAGAGGCAGAGGGTGAGGAATGCCTCCAGATGGGCGTCCTGGCCCTGGGGAGAACACTGGGGACGCTCTCCATGGGGTTGCCCTGCCCCTACCCAGTTCCCACTCTACTCCCAAATACCCCCCTCTACCCAGGCACACACACACACAGCATCCCAAACTTACCCACCAACCCATGTCCATTCCCGGACTCAGTTTCCCCCTTCACTAGCATCCAAATCCTACCCTCTGCCAGGGTTTGCTCAGCCGGGGCCCACCGGCAGCCTCCCCTCTCCCAGCCCCACACACACCGGCTGGCCAGCCCACCAGAGGACAGAACTCTGAATCATCGGGACTCCGAGGCCTGAATGTCCTTCTTCCACTCCTTCACTTACTCTCCCGAATCTGCCCCACCCTCGGGATCACCTGCCCCCACATTCCCGGCCACCTCCTGGCCCCAGCAAACTTCCTTGGCTGTCCTCGACTTCTCTTTCACTGTCCCCCTGGCCTCCGACTCAGGGCCGGCGGCCGAATGGGGAACCCGAACGTCTGGCCGCGTTTGAAGTGGGGCCACGCTGGCCCGAGGCCCCCCGGGAGGCTGGGGCGAGGGCCCACTCCTGCGGGGCGGCGCCCTTCTCTCCCCTGCCCCTCTCCCCTCCCCCCAGCCCTCTCGGCCCTGGTCGCGGGGCTCACCAGTGGCAGCAGCAGACCAGGCACGGTGGGGAGGCCCATGTCCGGCCAGCTGTGGCCTCTCACTCCCCCATCAGGGCTCAGGCAGTGGCGACGGCGGCGGCGGAGTCCGGGATGCGCGGGCCCGGCAGGTCCCGAGAGGAGCCCGGGGCCGTGGGCAGGGGAGCTGAGGTGGAGCCCGGGGTGAAGATCACGGCTCGGTCGCGGGCCGGGACCTCCAACCCCAAAGGCCAGAGCTGGAGCCCGAGTCCTGAGAACCGGGAGAAAATTAAAGCCGAGAGGAGCGAGGAGGTGGGAGGGCAAGGAGAGTGGCAGATGGGGTGTTGCAACTGCGGGACAGGAAGAGCCTGGGGGCGGAGAAGGGAGGAGGCGGGAGGAGGGGGCGAAGGGCTGTAACCCTTTGGAGCTCAGTCAGAGGCGCCCGAGTCCCGGATCTGGCGGCCTCGGGCCCCCAACCCACCAATCCGACCCCTCCCGAGCCAACGCCGAGGTGCATAAGCCCCTCCCTCCTCACTCACCCCGTCACCCGACCTTTCCCACGTGAACAGTAATAAACCGACTCAGGGCTCTGGAGTCAAACTCACTGGGTTTCAGTTCAGAAGGCTCTATTTTTTAGCTGGCTGGTCCTGGACCAACAACCTACACCCTGTGAGTCTGTTTTCCAATTTGCTACAGGGAGAGAACCCAGCTCGGGTGGGGGGGGGGGGGGTGTAAAGGTTTTACTGAGACGGGACAGGTTGAGGGTCTGACCCATGACAGGTACTCAGTGTTCCTTAGTAGCTCTTCCCTTGCCCCGGAGTTCTCCACTGACAGCCTGATCTCCCACTTTCTTGGGTATTTATCCCTCCAACCCAGACTCAGAGTGAACCCTCACCCTAGTTTTCTGTCCTGCCTGGGGCCCTGACACCCTCCCCCGACTCGGGTGCTCATCCACTCTACCTGGCTGGGGGCCCCAGCTGCTGATCCTGGCTCTGCCACAAAAAATCGGGGACCTGAGGCAAAGCCTCCACTGAGCCTCATTTACTAAGTGAGAGTAACATTGCCTGGCCCACCTACATGGGGAAAATGATGTCATGAGGATAAATGAGATCATACCTGTGAAAATGCTTTGGAAATTATAGATATCTCGATCACATTTTACCAGACATTCTCAGTGCCCCTCTCCCAAATATTCTGATATATAAATCCAAATTGACCTTAGACATAATCTACCACAGCCCTCTGTTGTATAGATAAGAAAGCTGAGGCCTGGAGACACACAAGGCATGTTCTCTGCACAGCCAGCTGAAACCTCTGAGCCCCAACTTCAGTCCAAGGGCCTGTTTTGCTATTATAGACAACATTACCACTTTTCTATCTGTCCCCTTGAGTCAAACACCACACTCTGGGTATTTCAGGCCACCCCCTTTGTGCAGGCTGTATCCCAGATGAGTCCCACAACAAGGGTACAACGTTCACCCACATATCCTCTGGGCACAATGACTTTCAGGTCCCCCAGCCGCTGAGGTTGCTAGAAATGCAGGGAGACCGGAGAGGTCTCTGTGACTTAGAATCAGAGCGTCTGGCCCCTTCTCCCCTGAATCTACCATCTGACCCCACCTCTTGGACTCCAGCCTCCCTGGCTCTCCCTGGCCTCCCCTCTTTGATCCCAAGGGCGGGGCATCTGTAGGTGAAAATGGAGCTCAGATGCCCCCCACCCCTGGCTGACTTCACCTCATTTTCCAGCTTCTGAAAAAAGAAGTGTTTACCATATATTAAGCATTCAATAAGTGGTAGCAATGTTAGGAGTTGCACAATGAACAGTATTCCCAATTAATAACAACTTTAATGTCCTATTTTTAATGTTACAAGGAATTTTTAATAGTCTGTGCCAACTGTCAAAGCCATTATACATAGCCTGACACAAAAAGAGAGTTTCTTTCATTGTTTAGGATAAATGTGTATTTACTTTAAATTTTGAAAAATGTGGTATTAAATTGTTCAATAAAATTCTGTCTCAAAAAGATGGTGAGAGGTGGGTGCTGGTAGGAATAGGAAAGGCTAGTCTCATGGAGGAGGTGAGAATGTGGCCATGACCCCTCCAGGGGAAGAAGAAATAATGGTGAGGGAGGGAATGGCAGAGATGGAGAAATAGGAGAGGGGTGAACTAGGAGATGACAGAATTGGCTGTTAGGGCTTGTGGAGCAACAGATGAAGAAGAAAGAGCACAGATCCCCCTCTCCCCTGCCACGTCACACACACACACACACACACACACACACACACCCCACACAGCAGCAGAGTGATGGAAAGGACACTGGACTCCAAGTCTGGGTGACTTGGGTTCTAGCCCCAGCCCTGTCATCTGACTCCATGTCTCACAGGGAGACAGGATGGGTCATAGCAGGAGATCTGGCTGGTTCTGTAAGAATTAGGAGCTTGGGCAAGTCACGTCACCTGCCAACCTCCTCAATAAGGAAAAGAAGGCAACCTAAAGCCTTTCTTCTCTAACATCCATTCTGGCTCCTAACCCTGGGGTCCAAGGGTATGTATAGATAAGACATAAACAGCTCAGGGTGGAAATGCAGTGGGCCTGGAGAAACTCCAGTGTGGGCTGTTGAGGGGTGGGGGGGTGGGGAGGAGCTGATTGAGCTTGTCCACAACAGAGCAAGCTTCGTCCTGCAGCCAGAGGAGAGGGGCTGGGGACCGGGAGAAGCAAGGCCCTGAGAGCAGACAAGGACAGGCTGAACCTGAGGGCTCGGACCGAGGAGACTGTTGTGACACCACCATTTTCCCCTCATCGGCTCGAGTCTAGGAAAGGGAAGTCAGAAGTCCTCACGTCAGTTCCTGGTCGCAACCTTTTCTACCTCTCCGCTCCCTTCACCTCCCCCCACCTTTCCCCAAGGTTCCCGTGGCTCCTCAGGACAGGGAAGATTGTAATTGAGAGGGGTAAGACCAAGGCAGCAGGGAGGTGTCCTCGAAGATGGTGAGGAAGAGTAACTTCCAGGATCCAGGTCTGATGCTAGAGTGGAGAAAGGAACCGGCATTCCAAAAACTGGGGTTCCACTCACACATCCCTGTTTCTCCTCTAATAAAAGCAGGCGGATTCCTGCCGCTGCTCTCTGCAATGATGAGAGAATAAGAATATACCAGGCTTTGAGGTTCCAGAAGGAACTGGCCTGAGTCTCATCCTCCCCCCGCACCCCGCCCCCACGAACTACTGGGCAGTTGATGGGGAGGTGGGCAGGTGAGGGCATTATCTTGTAACTGGGAGGAGAGTCACTCCAATCGCACTTAGCAGTTGGAGAGGTGGATGACTGATGACGGTAAGCAAAGTTGGGGAGGGAAAGGAAGTTCAAATCGTGGACGAGGGTGAGTCACGCCAAGCACTGCCCAGTAGGTGTCCTGAGGGGAGCGGCATCACGGCTTCGCCCTGCCACCTAACGTGGTGATGGCCACCTAGCAGATGTCCAGCAATGCCCATGGCAGAGCTGGCGGTCCAGTTTGTCTCTGCCAACGCCCCTGAAGAATGGTTGCTTCCATAGTGAAGCCAAGGGCTCTGGAAGTCTGGCCCCTCGCCCCACCCTGGGACCTCTGAGGAGCTTGGGCAGTGACCCAGGGACTTGCATCCACTCCCGACCCCCTTGATGGTGCCCCCATACAGCTCTCCAGACATTCCTTATGCAGCAAACATTTATTGAGCACCTGCCTACTTGCTCCAAGCGGGACACTGGGCTAGACTCTGAGGATACATAAATGAACAAGATTCCGTCCCTGACCACAAGGAGCTCAGTCTAGTTGGGGAGGCAGACACAAAGGAACAAGAAAGCATAAGCCAACATCAACTCTCCAACAGATGTTATGCCGTGCTATGGGAGTCCAGGGGAGAGGGAAGTGATCAATTCTGGGGAAGACAAGAAGGAGCAGAACTCTTCACAGAAGTAGTGGTGCCAGAATAGGGTTCTAAGGGATGCACAGGAATTCTCCAGGCTTCCAGGCTGAGGAAAGAACTCGGGCCAATATGCGAAGGTATGAAGGACGCAGAGGCATTGGGGTATGGCTCTGTTGGGGCGCAGGGTAGATGAGGCTGGAAGAGTCCTGGGGCCAACTAGGAATGGCCAAGCCTTTACTACATCGGTCTGCTCCAGCCCCTGCCCTGGGAAGGAGAATTGCCCAAGAACTAACAAAGGGGGCTTTTGGGTGGGGTTCCCCACTCAAGTTCAAGAAGAGGAGCAAACGTGTCACTGGAAAGTAGCGTGGCCAGGCCCGGGGTTGGCTTCAGTCATCTCTGGGTAGGAAGTGTGCATGCCTTTGTGTGCCCTTGTTTTTGTTTCCGGTCACCAGTGGTTTCCTAGGAAGGTTCCTTGTCGAAGCTCCAAGTTTGGCCTGGCTGATCCAAGGGAAAAGTGGACTTGTTTGCGCTCGGGTTGGGAAATCAGCATCTTCTAGAGGCAGGACCAGAGGGGACAGGGCGGAAGACAGGGCAATGCCAGGCAGGTTCCTTGGCCCCTGTTCACTGGGCCATTTCTGTAGCCCCTTGTCCATCCTGCTTCCCTCCCCCACACCAAAGGCAGTTGGGCAGTTCTGAGAGGAAGTCCCCAAACTTTCTCTCATCCTGCCAAGCCTGGTCCCCTCCCACCAGGGGAAGCGCCTGCCTTGGGTGGAGGGGGGACATGCTCTTTCCCTCTCAGGGCTCCTCCAGAGTATAGGCAGAGTAGTCAGTCCGCACCAAGCTGGACGGAGAAGGGCAGGGGCCCAGAGTGGCATAGGCAGGTGGAGGGGCTGTCAAGGCTGGGAAAGTGGCAGGGCCTGGTGGGGGGGGGGAGGGGGATGTGGAGCGGGGGCAGTAATGGGAGGGGAGGGAGGAAGCTGGAGTGGAGGCCACCTCCTGGGCACCCCTGCCCCCTCGGCCCGGAGACCAGTATCGGCTTCGGAACCTCCGGAGCAGCATGAGGAATGTGATGACCAGGAGGTCAAAGATGAGCTCGGCCATCTCCACCACAGACAGCACCGAGGAGCCGAACCACAGGCTCCATTGGCTGCCCAGGTTGGACAGGAGGGTGACCGTCTGTAAGGGAAAAGGGCACACTGATCACTAGGGCAGAGGTGGAAGAAGAGCCCCATCTCTCCTTCCACGAGGCCCTCACCCACCCCTTTCGGCCTCTTGGTGGTCCCCTGGACCCCTTCCTTCTGTCCCAGTCATACCCATCTGGCACACCCTTCCCTCTCACCATGCCCAGAGACTTCATCCCCCAGCCAAGCTCCCCTTCTTCCAACCTTCTCAACCTCACCCTTGCCCTCCCATCCTTTCCTTTTCCCCTACCTTCAAGACCCAGACCCCTGTGGCCCCACAGAGGCACCCCCTTGTTTTCCCTGACAGCCATCCGCTAAGACCTCCAAGAGAATCGCCGGCTCAATAAGGACATACCGTGACAGAGGGAGACTCAGAATTGGTTTTGTATTTCAGCTCCTTGAAGAAGATGTTGAGTTTGGCAACCCCATTTCTTTGGAGTTGAGGAGAGGGTAGGAAGAAATGGCAATGGATTAACTTCTCAGACCCTCACAAACACCCTCCCCCAGTCACGTCCTCTTCCTAGATTGGTTCTCCCTCCCAGGGACTCCTCTCCACAGCCAGATCAGGGTAGGACTGACCTTTTGTTGTTGATGGTATAATTGTTCTGTCGGGATAGCATCTGGAAGATCCAGTCCTGAAAAAGAATGGGGGTGTCAGTGGGGTCACCCCATACTCTTCAGGCTTATAGGGTTGGATGTGGCATCAAACACATCCATATACATACCCAGAGAAGACCACAGTGTTACACACACACACACACACACACACACACACACATCCCCTATCCCTCCCCTTCCCCACTTTACCTGGGATGTCACTGAGGGCCATCGTGAATAAACGGCAGAGAGCTCATAGCTGGTCACACTGGGGATGGAGAAAGGAACTCAGTGATTGAGGTGAGGTTCTCCCGCTCAAAGGCTTAGCCAAGTACCCTGGACTCTCCCCAGCCAAGTGGCCAGCGACCCAACCTGTGCCCCAGGGGACGGAGACACTCACCTGCATGGCTTCCGGCACTTGGTGAAACAGCCCAGGCGGTCCGAGGAAAAGGCATCCTGAAGCTTATAGTAACAGTAACCTGTGGGTGCAGAGAGGTGCCCATTTTCCTGGGGCACTTCCACCTTCTCCACCCCAGACCCAAGAGGTCTCCCAAGATAGGAGCGTACCCACATTACAAGTAGCGTTACAGGGATGCCTCCTGAGTGGTAGCACGAGAAAGTGTTTAAGAAATTAGGCTAAGTCAGGAAAATTTAAAAACAAACAAACAAACCAAAAAACAACCCAGGACACATCTATGTAAAGATGAGTAGGATATGGACAAAAATCTAAAATCAAAAAGAAAACCGGGAACAACTGTGTAAGAAATATGAGCTTAAACCACAATGAGATGCCACTTCACACCCACCAGGGTGGCCATTAAAAAAATAAATAAATAAGTATCGGGGAGGATGTGAAGAAACTAGAACCTTCCTACATTGCTGCTGGGAACGTGAAATGGTGCGGCCGCTTTGGAAAAGAGTCTGGCAGTTCCTCAAAATGTCGAACACGGAGTTACGAGATGACCCAGAAATGCCACTCCTAGGTATATACCCAAAAGAACTGAAACATAGGTTCACACACAAAAGAGAAACAGGAAATAGAAACAACCCAAGTGTCTGTCAACTGATGAACAGGTAAAAACACGAGGCAGAGCTGTACAATGGAATATTATTCAGCCCTGAAAAGGAACCAAGTACCAATAGATGCCACAAGGTGGATGACCCTTGAAAATGCTATGCTAAATACAAGAAGCCAGTCACAAAGGACCACATAGCACAGGATTCCATTCACATGAAATGTCCAGAATAGGCAAATCTGTAGAGACGGAAAGTAGATTAGTGGTTCCCAGGGGTGGGGCAGGGGGCTGCGGGTGCAGGACATGGGGAGCTCAGAGAGTGCTAATGGGTAAAAAGTTTCTTTTGGGAGTGGTGGAAATGTTCTAAAGTTGACTGTGGCTGCCACACAGCTCCGTGATTATACTGAAAACTAAAACTATACTAAAATCAAATTGTGCACTTTAAATGGGTGAATTACCTGGGACAGAAATGATCTCAATAAAGTTGTTACCTAAAAAGGTGGGGGATGAGTCTATGGATCCCCCTTCTCCCCTATTTGCCAAGTTCTAAGTAAGGTTATTGTGTCATTCTTGCTACTTTGTTGCCCGTTCTGGAAGTCCTCCATTTCTGACCCAAATCACTTCGTTCTGCAAGGACTAGGGGGGTCTGGAACAGCAAAGCGTGGGGGGCAGCTGGGCCCTTTCCTCTGGGGAGTCAGGAGTCCTTAGGAAACAGCAGACCATGTCCCCCAGTTCCTCTCCCCCATCCTCCTGGCTTCTCAGCAATCAGCATTATTATTTTTCTCTCACAGATCCTCAAGCTCACAGCCATTTAGAAATCATTGGGGGCAGCGAGGAGCAGTGGGCGGGGAGTCCCTGCTCTGCACATGGGAGGGGGGACATCACATCACATCTTCCCCCTGGGCCTCAGCCTGCTCATCTGAGAAAGGAGCCGGTGACGTCAGATGGCCCCAGAGTTTCCCTCCAGCTCTGGTGCGCTCTGACCTAAGGCAGGAGAGATGAGAACAGGAGGCCGGGACTACCAAGTACAGGGCAGGGGAGATATCCGTGGGGAGCATCCCCAGGGAAGGGAGGAGGCAGAAAGATCCACAGGGACAGAACCAAGAGAGGGGTCTGCCCCGTCCTCTTACATGTGTGGAGGCTCATCTCCTCCAGCAATGGCCACCAGCAGGAGGAGAGCTGGGCCCAGGGGAGCCCGGGGAGGAGGACCTCGGGAGGACCATTCAGGTGCGGCAGGATTGCCAGTCCTCTATTTTCTAGTTTCTTGTTTGGGATTTTCTTTCCCTCTTAGGTTCCTAGAACAGAGCTTCCATGCAGCATAACTCAGCTATAGTTATAGAAAGGAACAGGGATTTGTCTACTCCTAAACCAGGATAAAAAGGAGATTTCAGTGCTCTCCAAACTTTTTTGATTATGCCCTCCTGTAGGTAAAAAATTCTTAAATTCGGGTGCCTCGATGGCACCCCTCTGACACTTGGTTTCAGCTCAGGTGGTGATCTCAGAGTTGGAAGATCGAGCCCCGTGTCAGGCTCCGCACTCAGCGCAAAGTCTGCTTGGGTTCCTCTCTTCTGCTCCTTCTGCACCTCCCCACCCCCCCCCATGTGCTCTCTCTCCCCCGCAAATAAATAAATCTTTTTAAAAAAATCTTAAATAAGTAACTCTGTATGTATTGATTTATAAATTCCATACTTGCTACTACAGAACTGATCCATTAGGTACATTATAAAACATATATAGAATGGAAGATGTTAGGGAATTGGACAGATACATGTAACTTCTAGTATTTTCTTCCGGCACCCAGTGAGCGGTCTTGTGCCTTGCCCAGCACCTGGCAAGTGAGACGGGGAAGCTACAGGCAGAGTGTGGAGTGAGAACCTCAGCAGGCAGAGTGTGGAGTGAGCGAGGAAGACTTTCCTCACGTGCTTTTCCTTCCTTACGCTGTGAGTCATTTTTAAATGGGGTGATTCTCTATAAACACACAGAAGCCAAAACGCAGAGAGAGAAGCTGGGAGGGAGGAACAGGGATAGAGGAGAGAGAAAGAGTGAGAAGAAACTGAGAGGTGAGTCTAAGGGCTGGAACACAGGAGAGAGAGAGAGAGAGAGAATTAGCGTCACAGAGGGACCCAGAGGGGAGCGCGTGCTTCCGCTCCAAGAAAGCCCTGGGGCCCCGGGGCAGACCAGGGGCTCCCTGTGGTCTCACCCCAGGAATTATGCTTCCTGTAGTCACAGAACTCTGCATTCTTGGGCAGTGGATAGAAGATGTAGGCACAGCCACACTCCTTGATCATGTTCTCCTGGAAGCAGGAGCGGATACACACCTGGAGGAGATCGGGGTGGCGGGACAGGGGGTTCAGGCCTGCCCTCCCCCCACACAGCCCCAGAAGGGAAGGACAAACCATTCTCTGCACCCATCTTTCCACCTGTAACTCACACACACATACACCCCTCCAACGTTCGACGGACCAACAGGGCAGGCCTGGGAGATGGTTGCCATAGAAACAGGTTGGTCTCACCTGCTGTGTGTACTTGGAAAGATAAAGGTTCTCCACAGGGACATCGCTGCCATTCTTGGTACAGTCACCATAGTTGCCCCCAAGTCTGTCCAGGGCTTCCTGCGCACCCACACGCACAATGAAGTCAGAGGTCAGAGGTCAGAGGTCAGAGCAAGGGGCCCAGGCCCCTTCCTGAATTCTCTGTCTTCCCTCAGTCCAGAGGGTTTATATCTCCTACCCTGCCAGCCTCTCTGGTCTGTCTCACCATTTCAGAACTTGCCCCCAGGGGCCCCCAATGCCCATCCCAGTGCTACTTGCAAGGACAGAGCGCCCTGGGAACCCCAGGCACGTCCCGAACCCTTCTCAGCACTCCCACCCATGGTCCCTCCTCAGGTCCCTACTTCTCCAGCCCCTTGCTCCCGATTCTGCTCCTGAAGACCTCCACCCGCCTCAGACCCACCCCACATGAACTCCCTCTCCGGTCTTCTGGCTGTCGAGTCACCTCCCCTGCCCTCTCCAACCTGCGGCTCTCCTCCCAGGCCTCCCAGGCAGCGCCCTTGCCTTCCTCATGCTGATGGAGGTCTCCACGCCAGGCCGCAAGTTAAAGCCGCCGTCATCCATGAAGGCAGGCTCGTCCTGCCCGTGCACCATTACCCTGGCCCCAGTCACCGTGGACAGCAGCGGGATGAAGTCATTCTGCTCTGTGCGCAGCGTCAGGGACAGGCCTGGGGGTGCGGAGGGAGCAGAGTGGGGGAGGTCTTGGAGAAGTGGTAGGGGACGGAACCCCCTCTCCCACCTGCCCAGTCTCTAATGCTCCAGGGGAGGGCAAGGCCAGGAAGACTCACGTAGGGATTTGGCAACCCCTGAGCTGGATTCGGGGGTGGGCAGGCAGAACTGGGACAGGATTCCTATCACACCTGGAATCGAGTCTGTGGTGCCCATGGGGGACAAAGAACAGAGAAGACTCCTTCCAGGATAGAGATAGGCACACTGTGGGGAGGCCCAGCGGCACACAGCATCTCTTAAGACGTGAGCACGAGGTGGGTAAAGGCAGGTGAGCAGGGCCATGGGAAGCCCTGAGGCAGAGGTCAGGGATGGTGGGAATGAGGAATGGCTCACCATTTTTGATCCCGGGCATGGAAGACATCCAGAGGTTAGAGTTGTTCTTGCCATTGAAAGTGTAGCAGTTCCCATACATCGGGTGGTGAAAGTGAGAGTAATTCCTGTCCAGGAGAGAGAGAAAGTAGGATCAGAAAGGAAAGTGTAGGGGGCCAGAGAGAGCAGGACTTCCAGTGACCTTTGTTTCCTGACCACCTACTATGTGCCAACACACCCTGGGAGCTTTACCCACGCTCCCTAAGCCACTCCAACCAATAGCCTGGGAGAGCATCACCCCCACATCACAGAAGAGGAAGCCAGGGCTCAGAGAGGTCAAGGAGCTGCCCAAGGTCACACAAACAGTGATGACAAACTTGGAACTCAAAACAGGTCCTCTACCTTCTAGCCCAGTCTCTTCCCTCCAGGTCACCTGACCTCACTGGCCTTGTGAGCGCTCTTGTGTCACTGTGTTACATTATGAAGACTTTAGCAGTTTCCCTAGCTTCTCACATGTCTAAACCTTAGTTCCCCCTTTATTTATTTATAAATATATATTTATAATTTATTATATTTTAAATATATTTATTATATTTAATTGTTA